CATTCATCCACTCATTTCACCCTCAACGTTAACACACCAAAAAAAAAAAAAAAAGAAAAAAAAATCCTAATAATTTTCTTTGTCAAGAAACTTAAATCTCTCAGCTTGTTACCAGGGAAGAAGAAAAAAAGAAAGGAAGGAAGGAAATTTAAAGACTGTGGGTAGTAAATGGCATTTAAACTGGGACCCTCTCAAATATAAAATAATTTTTATTTATTTATTTTTTTTGAGACAGGGTCTTGTTGTATCACCCAGGCTGGAGTGCAATGGCGCCATCTCAGCTCACTACAACCTCCACCTACTGAGTTCAAGCGATTCTCCTGCCTCAGCCTCCCGAGTAGCTGGGACTACAGGCACACGCCACCATACCTGGCTAATGTTTATATTTTTAGTAGAGACTGGGATTACAGGCGTGAGCACTTTGGGAGGCCGAGGTGGGCAGATCCCTTAAGGCTAGGAGTTCAAGACCAACCTGGCCAACATAGTGAGGCCCCATCTCTACTAAAAATACAAACATTAGCCGGTCATGGTGGTGTTCACCTGTAATCCCAGCTACTTGGAGGCTGAGGTATGAGAATCACTTGAGCCCGGGAGGCAGAGGCTTCAATGACCCAAGATCCAGCCTGAGCAACAGAGCAAGACTCTGTCTCAATAAATAAATAAATAAATAAATAAATAAATAAATAAGTAAATAAATAAGTAAATAAATGAGTACTTATGCTCCTCTTTTAATGAAATTGAAACAAGGAAAGCCTGTTCTTAGGGGAGCTGCGTTAGGCCATGTGCAGAGATTGTAAACATTCCTCTTCCCAGCAGGATGTAGGGAAATTCCTTTGCCTTAAACTTTCTGTGTTCAATTGACTTTGGATTATAGGGGTGTTTATCAGAATTTGTTTTAGGAAACCAGACAAGAACTTAAAAAAAAAAAATTGTTGTATCTGACTAAGTCAGACAGAATTCTCTGCCAAGATCCTTTGCTATTTTCCATTTTTAATCCAGTCTGTTTGGAGATCCCAGGAGTTGATTTGGTGGATACACTTTCTGGGGCAAGAAGAGTCCAAGTATTTTCTCAGACCCCTGCCTACTAGTGACTACTCCAGAATGTCAATAAACTTGTGTCTTGTTTATCACATGCCATTTTTTACATATCTTGTTTATTACATACTATTTTTATGTATCAGGTTGGCAAATATGAAAAAGCTGGATAGCCAATCCACTGAAGATGAGGTAGAAAGAACTTGAGCACTTGATGACCAAATTTTGCTGGGAAATCAACCAACGCTGGAACTGCCTGACCTCCAGAATTCTTATGTGAAAGGATACTTTTCATTATTGCTCTGGCCATTTTGAGTTGAGCGTTCAGTGGCTCGCATCAGGAAGCTTCAGGGCTGACATACCACGCTCCTGCACTGTAACACGTACCTGGGGCAGCAGGTCCAGCCCAGGCAAGGGCTGCAGGGATGAAATGCCCAAAACACTGGCAGCTTACCTGGAGCTTCTAGGAAAAGCATGATTGTCCTCCTTCCAGCTTCCAGAGGACCAGAGTCCAGAGGCAATTGGATGGGTTTTGGCACTTTGGAACTGAAGAAAAGTGCCTGTTTTATACCAAGGGCTCAGCTTTTGATGTCATTCATTTAGTTACTCATTATAAGTCTGTAGACAGTGGGCAAGATATGGAAACAAACAAAGGTGTCTAATAAACAGAGCACACCTTCTGGGTCCCCTCCCTCCTACTCTCACCAATCCCCTTTTCAGGGCCAAACCCACCTTCTTCCCAGGGCCTGGTCCCTCTGCCTGTCTCTTTCACAGGAAGTAGAATTATACACCATCTGAGAGCCTGTACAGGGGCTGGATCAGGCCCAATGTGGATCTTGAGAACTGAATATCTTCACCCAGTTTCCCCCAATAGTCACATCTCACATTATCAGAGTATCATGTCAAAATCAGCATTTGGTATGTATATCACATATGCAGATGTGTGTAACCACCACTACAATCAAGATACAGAATTATTGAAACATATAAAACACTAATAAAAGAAATTAAAGAGGGCACAGATAAATGGAAAGATATCCCACGTTCATGGATTTGAAGAATTACTATTATTAAAATGTCCTTATTACCAAAAGCAATCTACAGATTTAATGTAACAATGTCGTACCGGTTTGCAAGCACTTTTACCTCCTGATAAACTCACCTATGTGTGTTCTTTAGATTCAAACATACTGCTGCTCTAGAGGGTGTGAGTATGACTGAGAAAACAGTAATTTAAAAAGGATTAAAATAAGACACCCCACTAGAATATATACAGAATTCTTATAATCAACAATAAAACAACAAATACCCAGTTAGAATTGGACAAAGGACTTGAATAGACATTTCTCCAAAAAACATATACAAATTTCCAATAGGCACATCAGAAGATGCTAAATATCATTGTCATCAGGAAAATGCAAATCAAAACCACAGTGAGATACCACTCCACACTCACTAGGATGGCTGCAGTCAGAGCAACAGATAACAAATGTTGGTCAGACACAAAGATGGGAGCAATAAACACCGGGGACTCCAAAAAGAGGGTGGCGGGGCAAGGGCTGAGAAACTTTCTATTGGGTACTGTGTTCACTATCTGGTGTTGGGATCAATAGAAACCCAAACCCCAGCATCACACAACGTACCCTTGTAACAAACCTGTGAATGTACCCCCAATCTAAAATTAAAATGTTTTAAGTGAAATAAAAGGATTAACTGGGAAAGAAAAAAAACAAGGGTTGGTGAGGATGAGAGGAATTGAGACCTTCCTGCCCTGCTGATGGGAATATCAAATGGTGCAGTCACTTTGGAAAATAGTCTGGCAGTTCCTCCAAAGGTGAAACACAGAGTTACGACATGACCAGGAATTCCACTCCTAGGTATACACCCAAGAGAAATGGAACATACGTCCACAGAAATGTTCAGAAGAGCATTATTCAAAATAGCCAAAAAGTGGAAACAGCCTAAATGTCTATCAACTAATGAATATAAAAAAATGTTATATGCATACAATGGAATATTATTTGGTGATGAAAAGAAAGAAGTACTGATTCATGTTACAACATGGATGAACCTTGAAAACATTATGCTTAAGTAAAAGAAGCCTGTCAAAAAACACCTTATATTATATTATTTGCTTTGTATGAAATGTCCAGAACAGGCAAATCATAAAGTAGATTAGTGGTTGCCTAGGACTAAAAAGAAGACGGCGTGCATGGGAGAGTGACTGCCTAAGGGGCACGGCATTTCCTTTCTGGGTGATGAAAATGTTCTAAAATTCCTTATGATGATGGTCACACAGCTCTGTGAATGGAGCAAAAAGCACTAGATTGTGTCCACTTTAAATGGGTGAATTGTATGGTATAAGAACTACTATTAATAAAACTGTTTTATAGAATAAATAAACAAACTCCCAAGCAGAGCCAGCAGCCAGACTTCTTCCTGTTTCCATGCCAGGGATCTCGCTCCTATTTGCCTTTAATCCATGTATCTTTCTGTTGACAAGAATCCACCCAGCCAGCAAACTCGTGCTTGCTCTGCGGTGACATCACCAGGATGCACCAGGCCCTGGGCCTGACATTACTCTGCAGTCCTTGCCAACTAGGTCAGAAGCCGTGTGACACTGGAAAACCCATCAACCTGTCTAACCGTCAGGTTCCTCCTCTGTGCATTAACAATGACATTGATGCCTGTTTTGCAGGGCACTGGGAGGGTAGAGGGAGGTGTACGCTGGAGAGCTCCCCAAGGGCAAGGCCCGGCTCTGTGTCATTCACTGTCAGGTCCTCAGAGCCCGGGGCTGGCCCAGAATGTGGCCACCATTCCCTAAGAGTTGGATTTGATCCGTCAGTGCTGAAGGCAGGGGATAGAGCTTCGACAGACCCCCTGTGTCCTGTCTTCTTTATCTGCAGCTTACTCATCCTCACCCCTTTCACATGCACCCTGCAGAGCAGGTGTTCACTGAGCTTCCACAAAATTCACTAGAGCAGCTGATGGATACTGGGGCCTGGATTCACTGCCAAAGTGTTTCTCAAAGGGCGCTTTCCAGAATACCATGGAAAACTCATTTACTGTATAAGTTTGAAAATCCCTGCCCACAAGTTCACCCTTATACATGAGCAATCGGCTCTACCATTCAGCCCAGGTGTGTGTTTGCTGGACCACCTGGAGGAAGCTGAGGAGACATGAGCTGAAGGCAGAGGGTGAGTCTGAGGTGGGATCTAGAAACAGGCACGAGAAGTTAGGCAAAAATGGGATAATTCTAGCCTTAATAACCTTAGATAATAGTTCACATTATTATTTAGTTAATAGGATTGTTGTCACGTTAAATTTCTTATTTTTTTTAACAGATAAAGTCTCACTCTGTCACGCAGGCTGGAGTGCAGTGATGCAATCATGGCTCATTGCTTCCTGGAACTCATGGGCTCCAGCAATCCTCCTGCCTCAGCCTCCTCACTAGGTGGGACTATAGGCACACACCACCATGCCTGGCTAATTTCTTTGACTTTTCGTTAGAGCCAGGGTCCACCTATGTTTCCCAGGCTGGTCTCAGACTTCTAGACTCAAGTGAACCTGAACCTCCCGCCTTGACCTCTCAAACTGCTAGGATTATAGGTGTGAGCCACCACACCTGGTCTAAATTTGTTATGTACCATGGTACTGCAAAACGTCATTATTTAGGGGCAGCTGGATGGAAGGTGTAGGAGGACACTGTAGTGCCTTTTCAATTTTTCTGTATATCTAAAATCATTTCAACAGGAAACATTTATTTAAAACATGAATGTGGTTATCCTTCCATGAGTGTAAAGTACAAAGGCAGGCTCACGGTGTCGTCAGAATTCAGAACACTGGTCGCGGGACTGGGGGTGCTGGGAGGGGCTGGGCATGGTTGGCTTTGTGACCAGGGGGCTGGTGTGTTCCATCTGTCAATGTCTTTCAAGCTGCACACTTTATTAATAAGTTTTTGTAAGTTTAACAAAAAATAAAACGAGGATGTGAAGCTTGTTTGGGTTGTTAAGCCTTGGGAACTTATCCAGCCACGAGCCCTGGCCCAGATGCTTCTAGAAGCCTGGAGGGAACTGAGAACTTTCCAAGTAGAGGCAGCAGAGGCAAGGCCCTGTGGTGGGAGCGCACTGCTGCTCGTCCCTAGCTGCGAAGGGGGTGTCCTGGTTGGAATCAGTGCTGGGCACACTGCAGGGCTGGAAGTCCATGTCCACATTGTTGCTCAGTGCAGTGAAAACCAATCTCACCCTCTCCGCAGGGTTGTCAGCCTGCCAGCAGGTGGCCAGCTGCTTTTCTTGGGAAATGGTGCCTTCCCAGAAATTGGGTGCAAGTCTCTTGTCCACAGACGGGATGCCCTGTTGCAGTGGGATATCTCCCTACCTCCCTCAGCCTTGATGGACCTAGGCAGGGCCGGATGTCAGGGTCCCCATGGGCTTCCCAGGCTAGGCCTGTCCCATGGTCCTGGCACTGTCCAAGACACATTCAGAAGGGACACAAACCCGGCAGCTATGTTCAAAATCATAATGGGGGAACCAAGGGTCCCCCACATCCAGGTCTGTCGGAAGCCGGGGCATTGAGTTCCACTGTAGGAATCTCCAGGAACCCTGAGGTCTTCCCTGAGCCAAGGCTGAACTGGGCACACCCTGAGTGCCCACAGGGTAGGTGTCTTCCCGGACAGCCCCACCAGGACAGGGTGTGCAAGAACGAGGTGCCCATGGCGCGGAAGCTGACCAAATGGGCAGATGGGCTCAGCTGTGATCTGTGCTGCATACAGGCATAGGCCAAGGTGGGACTAAGTGATGACCAGGTCAGCCAGGTCACGGCTTGCATGGAACATGAGTCTCTGTGTGTGTCCTCGGGCCGATATGCCATGTTTGGCCTCAGATCCAGCCGGTACCCTCGGTTCTGAGGCTTTGCTGATGACGTCTACCTTGAAGCTGTCCCACTTCGGGGCCTCTCAAATCACCCTGATGGGGGAAGAGGATGAGCTCATTGGCCAAGAGGATGCCTTCTGCAGCTGGGCTGTGCAAACCTTCAAGGTCAGTTCCCAGCCAGAGCTGCTCCACAGCAGGGACATGACAGGGTGCATTCATGCCTAGGACATCTGTGCTGGGTGTCCCGGGGGGCATGACTTTGGCCCCTGGTCCTATAGATGCGGTTCTAAGCATGGGCCAGGGTCATGGGCCTGAGGGCTCAGGTCACTGCTGATGTCCCTCAGCCCCCTAGAAGAGCTCAACCCTGTGCACACAACTGGGGGAGAAGGTGGTGCAGATCCCCCCCTGCCCTTAGGGAACTTCTAGCTTAAGATCTTTTTCCCACTGACTATCTAGGTGGGCTCTTAACTACTGTGTCTGTTTCAGTCTCACAGCCATAGAGAGCCTGGGGACAGGCATCACACGGTGGCAAAACCACTTTGGATCCACTCAGTGTCTCCATAGCTCACTATTTCGGTGGTTGGCCCTAGTCATTTAGGGAACTCGTCACTCATGCTGAGTGTCACTCACTGATGGTACTTAGGAGCATCAGTGTGCGTCGGGGCAGGCTTGGTTCCAAAGCCCGGGCCTCCTCCATGTGGTTCCACATCAGGAACATGGGGACAAGCAGACCTCTCCCAGTGTGGGCGTGAGGATACAAGATGATGTCAATATTGACATTCATAATGGCTGGGCGCAGTGGCACCTGCCTGTAATCCCAGGGATTTGGGAGACTGAGGTGGGCAGATCGCTTGAGTCCCACAGTTCGAAACTAGCCTGGGCAACTTGACAAAACCGTCTCTACTGAAAATACAAAAAATTGGTTGGGCTTGGTGGTGCACACCTGTAGTCTCAGTTATTTGGTACACTGAGGTGGGAGGATTGCTTGAACCCAGGGAGTTGAGGCTTCAGTGAGCACTGATGGCACTGCTGTACTCTAGCCTGATGACAGAGTGAGGCCCTGTCTCAAAACAGAAACAATGACAAAACAACATTCATAATAGCAGCAATAGCTACTATGTGCCAAGCCCAGGCACCTCTTTGAGTCCTTGCTCTCACCCTATCAGGTAAGTGTGCTTAGAACTTACATGAAGCCCATGGCTCAGTGTTTGGCTTGTGGTAAAGGCCTAAAAGTGGTAGCCCCGGTGGTGCGGATGCTGCTGCTGCTGACCGTTAACCCCAGTCTGCTCCACCTTCTTCCAGGCAGCCTGTGAGACGTTTGATGTCCGAGGCAAACAGCACATTCAGATCCCCAAGCTCTACACCTCCAGTGTGACCTGGGACCCACACCACTACAGGCTCGTGCAGGACTCACAGCCTTTGGACCTCAGCAAAGGTACTTGCTTCTCACACGGGGCTTGTTTGTGTTGGGGTCTGAGCCCTGAGCCCACGGTCAAGGAGACCCCCGGGTCTCCTTCTGAACAGAGACAGCTGGCCTGGGTGCCTCCCTCTCACTGCATGCAGGAGCCTGTTAGGGTGCAAGACTCAAGGTGCTGAGGGAGGCTGTTTCAGGAGGGAGCCCCAGGAGGGTGGTGGAGAGAGAAGGGGGCAGCATCTGCCGAGGGCCTACTGTGTGCCGGGCACTGTGCGGGGCTCCTGGCCCACATGGGCTAAGTGATCCTGGACACTCCTCCTGGGAGAAAGGCACAGAAGGAGAAATTGCAGTTCAGGGAGGTGAAGCAAGCTGCTAGCCTGTGGCCACGTTGGGATCTGGGCCCCCGCCTTCCAGCCGCGAAGGCAGCCAAGTGTTGTGAAGAAGGTGTCGCAGAGGTGATTCCAGGCTGCAGTGGTGAACTCTCCACTCTGCACCCCGGGGTGCTGTGCCCTGTGCCCTGTCTAAGGTAGTCCTGCAGGTTTCTATGTTTAAGATATCCCCAGCATCAACGCTGCTCTCCTGTGGATCCCAAGCCGTGGAGATGTCCTGGGGCTTTTCATTTTTAGGTTCCTAAATTGAATTTCCCAACACCTAGAAGCAACACAGCCACCCTAACAGACTCACATGCAGTGAGAGGGAGGCCCCCAGGCCAGCTATCTCTGTTCAGAAAGACCCGGGGGTCTCCTTAGCCATGGGCTCAGGGCTCAGACCCCAACACAAACAAGCCCGTGTGCTGAGAGAAGCAGGTCCCTTAGCTGATGTCCAAAGGCTGTGAGTCCTGCACGAGCCTGAAGTGGTGCAGGTCCCTGGTCACACTGGAGGTGTAGAGCTTGGGGATCTGAATGTGCTGTTTGCCTTGGATCTTTATTCATGATTCAGAAACAGTGGAATGAAAGGAAAGAAAACCCCAATGGCCACCTCAGCAGGATGCTCCAAGGGTAGCATCCGGGTGTCACTGACTCAGACATCTGGGGGCTTCCCCCACCCACGCTGAAGAGCCACTTTGCCATTTCACCATCTCTCTGTCCTCCACACCCCTCAGCAGCAAGCACGCCAAGAATGTGTTCACCATGAAGCTGAAATCTCAGCAGAATCTAGAGTCTGAAATCCAGGTAAGGGAAAGTGTAGAGCTTCTCAGATGATGCTCTGTCAATTTTATTTTAAAGAATGAAAGACCAGAAGAAGTCAGTCTGTGAAGGGAGAGGAGAGGAGCCTCTGCTGGCATCAGCAGCTATGCCATTGTAGGACTGGCTCACCTGGACCTGCGGCCGCCTGTGCTTTTACATCTAGTCTTGGTTAATCATGACCACTTTTCCAGCTTGGACACTAAGCACCTGCTCCACTTCCTCTCCTTCCTCACTGAACTCTTTCACTAAAAGGAGAGTGCAAGACAGATTTAAACGGTTTGACTCATTCTGAAGAACTTTCAGGAAAAGTGTTGGCAGGGAAGGACATTTCCCAGCTCTGGGAAATGAGCCTTGTGGATTATCCGCAGGTTTCCTTGATCTGTGCTGTCCTCCCTGCATTCATTAGGAAAACTGGTCTTGGTTCAAATAAGAACAGGGTTTGTCCAGGTGACAGGGAAAGGTTTCTTCTGATGTCCACATATCTCCAAGGGGGATGCTTTCTCTGGGCAGAGGCTGTGGCCAAGTGCTCGGGGGCTCAGACAGCTGCTGGGAAGGGGTGGGCCCCTCTTTCCCCAGACGGAAGCTCCTGGCACCCTCTCGAGCATCCCCGCCTGTAGGGTTGCCTCTGGATGCAGGAGGACCCAGGAAAGGGTCTGATGGATGCAGGATGTCCTATGGAGGACGTTTGGGAATCAGTGCTCAGGTCACTCTGGGTCACTCAGGTCATTTGCTGGCCTCTGTTGTAATTATTGCCATATGAGAGTGCCACCTTTCCTATGATATATTTTATATATTTCTGTGAAAGGCCTACTTGTTTATATTTACAAATTCATATTAAAAGAAACTTGTATCACTCTCACAAATGGAAAGCCAGCAAAACATAAATTCAATGAAAACAAAATGAAGTTAATGAATTTTAGCTAGATACTATTCTCTAACCAAGTCTTGCTCTATCTTTGTTTTTTAAAGAGTAATACGCAATAAGAGAGGTATTAAAGGTCTATTAGCACCAATTCAAGACACTCTCTCCAGTGCTCACAAGAATGAAGATGGAAACCCAAGCCTGGCTCTCCAGGAACCCAAGATAATTCCAGGAGGTGTGTGACCCAGAAGAACTAGTGTCAAATCCCATGGTGAGTATTTACCCCTTTTTTTATATATAATTTATTTATTTTTTGTTATTCCCATTCAATTACTTCTTCATTCTTATGAAATGTAGGTTCTATACTAATGATTAACAAGTGTACTTCAATAATTTTCAACACTGTCAAGAATAATTGACTTTGTTTCTTTTTTCTTAGATATCTTCTATTATTTTCCTTATTAAATATTACCAAAAATCCCACAGAAATTAACTGAGGAGCCTGTAAATATCAACAAAATTATCACCTCATAGACTAGAATTAAACAAGCAAGTGGTTCCAAGAAATGGCGCAAGTGTATTAATCATAAAATACAATTTCTACGTGAAACATTCAGCCAGCACTGTTCAATGCGGGCCAATTGGGGGAGGCAGATGAGATAGGTCCCATGAAAGCAAAAGAATATAAATAACTAAAGCAAAAGCTAATGCATTCTTATAATAGCCTGACCATCTTTTTATTCCAACATTATGACTTTTTTTATTCCAACATTATCCTTCTAACATTAAACAATTATTTTTAATTAAAAGTTGGAAACCTACATAGAAGAAAGTTTTGATTCTAAAAAGGCCAACTTTTAATCTTACATTTTCCTTTCTAGCATAGAACCTACATTTCATAATAGAAAACCTAGGACTTGCTAGTGGTAGCTGCTGGAGTGAGGTGTCTGTCCAGTGCATCTAGAACGTCGCCACAGATTCACTTTAGCTCAGTCTCAACCTGAAAAAAATAAAAATAAAAATTTAAAAAATAAGATTGTTGAAGTCTAGAAATTCTATAAATTATTACACATTCTATCTACCTCTGATTTTGAGGAAGAGAGCTTAGTATTGAACAGAATTCCTTTCCCTCTCCAAACTCCCTTCTTCCTTTTTGACACAAAAGCAGAGAAAAGCTGCCTCTCAGTTATCAAAAGTATCTTTTCCTTTCTGCATGCAATTAAGTGCTACACACACACACACACACACACACACCCACCCCACTCCTCACTCTAGCACCGCCTCACAATCCAACCAGAGAATCACCAACGACTAAAACTAAACACTGATGCTACTTGGTAAATGTTGGTCAATTCCATGAATCCTTCACAAGGTAGCAACTATTGTGTCCATTTACTTGGGAAAACAGAAGCTAA